CTGAGCAGAGTCGAAGGTGAGCTGGTGTGCTGAGCTGCAGCAAGTGGTGGAGGAGTGTGAACGGTAGGGTGTGAGGACTTAACAGATCTACACAATCTAGAGAAAACAAGCGTGCAGAGCTACATCAAAGCCATTTTGAGGTTGGAAGAGATTGTTTTCCTTCAGAGGATTTTAAAGGAACATCTGATTCCATTAACTTCCTGCTTGATGTTTTACAGTGAAACTAGATGGAAGGGTTTCCAAACTGGAGACAGCTAACTGTGACGGTTAAGGTCTGCTCAGGAGCTGTCCTGACGTCGCTTCTTATGAATTTGGATGTGTTCAAGATTTCTGTTTTTGTCTTCGTATTTTACTGACCTCTCAACCATGTCGGCTGTGGCTCCCAAAGCCTCTGCTCTGATTGTTTTGAGCAAGCTGCTGTTTCTCAGGTCAAGACAAAAGTTTCTGCCAAAGCTTTAAAGCTAACATGAACAAGAAGTTCTCAAAGTGCTCGGAAAGAAATGGAAATTTGAATGTCCTCACTCTAGATGAATGGGCATCTGCTGAATAAGATTTAAAGTACTGGAGCAGCTCCTGTGGTGGTCGCTGCTGCGTCCAAGGTCAAGAATTATCTGTGATGTGTTCAAGCATCTGTACATAGAAATGCCACAACCCAGATAATTCTGACTTCATATTCATACTAACTAAACATCAGACAAGCTGTTTAAACGGTCTAACTCCAGGTTATTTTAGTTACATCACAGAAACACACTCAAAACAACCTCTCAGGATGGTTTAAGCTCTGTCTGTCTGCGCTCATTACTTCATTTCAGCCTTTTATCCTTTGCTCATGCTTTCATCCATTCACACTTCCATTCTTCTGTCTGCTCCCCCATCGACTCCAGCTTCAGTTTCCCTTTTCTCTGCCAGCTTGTCTGTCCAGACTCAATCCTCTACCTCTCATCTCAGCCATCTATTTAAAGATGGCTGTGCTGGGTGGCGGGCTGCAGGATGATCTGATGGATTATGGCGATAATCCAGCCCGCTGACATACTTCTCTTATGCACCACACTCATAGAGGTCTGAAACACAGGAGAAGAACATTCCCAAAAATCCCCAAATCCACATGGCACCCTTTGTCCCATCCTGCCTCACCTGGCTTAAAGGATTCAAACCCTGCGGCGGAGCAGAGGGTTTACTGGATCGCCCATATCTTCTGTCCTCTTTGTCCCACCTCATTTCTTACCGTGTATTGTCTCTTGTCTTGTCATGT